TCGCCTAGAGCCTTTAAATTAAGTTATTAATCCAGCAAACACAAGCGGACCAGGCACTCCTGTGGTGAGGGGCAAAATTCTCTGCCCCCATCGACATCCACGTCGTTACGAACAGTGTAATGACAGTTTCATTTGTTTTTTAAGATAACTTCGACGTCACCACAGTGGACGTAACCCGTCAGGACTGGTCGCGCTTCCTCTTCCTCTCATGGTTGCACCGCGTCGGTTTCCCAACCTCTGTGTTCTGACGGTGCATCTGTTTCCTGTTTAATTGAATCAAGCCTTTAGAGTTTCCCTACACCCCCTGCACTGAGTAAATGTGGTAAGACCACAGAAGTAAACATCAGAGGTAGTAGGAAGCAGCTTTTGCCATTCACAGCTTATCACCAAAGACCCATATGTTCACATAATATGCCTTCAATTTGAAGGAAAGGATAACATTGTCTACCAAATATCTCTCGCAGACAATGTTGGAGCAACAGAGACAAATACATCAAACTAAACGTGTTTGCCTTACTGTAAATATAATCTTCTGCTTTGTTTTTTAGCAGGGAGTTAAAGCCCACTTACAGTTATTGTAGCCCGATTTGGCCATTTTAGATGCATTTTTTTCTCTTTATGGATAGCACACAGGTGGGTAAAAGGTTGGCAGGGATGATGTTTTGCCAATTTATTTTATCAAATGAACTAAAAATGAATTTCAAATATATCTCAGGCCAGAGGCGAAAACATATGCAAAACCCATTACGCAGGCTTCACCCTACCCCATTTCACACTATAATTCTATCAGATATCCTTTTAATGGTCTTCAGAAATGGGAAGGTGATGGAAGGTAGGTGCAAGGAGTTGAGGGCTTCAGACAAGCCAGATAAAGTAACTGGATGAATTATGCCTTAATTGTGCCTGCTCGAGTCAATCTTCTCAGAGAGATGGGAAAAAATGCATAGAGATGCACGCGGCAAAACCGTATGACAGAAGTCAGAACTGTCCCTGCCTCTGTAGTTCCTCGAGAAAGATCTCAGACTTGTTTGTTGAATAGTTAGGAGCCATTTTAACCATTCGGGATGTGATGTTGCATCCAAAACATCATGAATGATTAATTTTGACCCCTATGGCTGTTCTCCGTATATGTCATGTTATATATACAGTATGTTTTTCTTATATATATTGTGACAACTAAATGACTAGTGAAAGTGCATGGTGATGCATCAAACACCTCTATTTCTACTCTTTCAAAATCTTAAAAATACACCATTTTGAATAATTAATGCATCAAAGAGTTCAAGTTCAAGCACTTCCACTCTTGTGAACGAAGCCGGAAGGAAGTATACCTTCATACCTGCTCATAAATCTCTGAATATAATGAAGGGAAACAGATCTGGCTTGCTGTTCAAAATAGAGGGCTTGATCTTGAGACTCAGCTGGAGTGTTAAAGTGTCCTTGGACTGCTTAATAATGAGTTTGTTTGACATTTATATAAACAAAGGTGGAGCTGTAAGAACTGTCATGGCACTGAAATATGCAGCTCTTGCATTATATTTGACAAGATTAGACGAAAAAGCCCATCCAGAACCTTTATTTAGAACGTAAAGCAAAACAGGGTAAGTGTTTTACTGAAGTTTCTTGTCAAGACATTCCAGAATGACCTTCCCAGGTGAAAAAGTGACCATATTACAGAAATAATATACTTTAAAAAATATATATAATTAAGCATGAATGGATGTAATGTTTTCAGACATAACTGCATGTTATTTACAACTGATGGAACATTATATTAATAGCAATTAGCTGAATTTTAAAGTGCGTTTTTTGACCCACTTAAGTAGGACTTAAGCAGAAATTGAAAGTCATGAAAGTATCTCTCTTTAAGTTCAGTGGTCTTTTATTTCTTTAAAGTATACAAATGCTGCAAAATGTACTTTTAAGATTTGAAGTACACTAAAAGTGTATATTCGGTACATTTAAGCGCGCTTATTCACATGGGGGACAACTGCAGTCCAGATGAATGAAAATGTGATCTGTTCAACACTCAAAAAAATTTAATAAAATAAAGAAATAAAGAAAAAATTTAAAAGTTTCCAGTAAGAATAGAGGGTTCTAAGCCTGATATTATAAGGGGACAGTTTTCATTTATACAAATAACATCTAATTTTCTAGCTCTTTAAAAACATTTGTGCTTAAAAGAACCCTGAAATGCTCTGATCTGAAGAATATATACATTAAGAGGTTCTTACCCTCCAGAGAACCATATAGCAGCTCAAAAACATCCTACAGAGTGAATAATGCGTTTTGACAGGAGCCTATTCGAAGAACCACTGAAGAAGCTTTATTTTTAGGAGTTACTGTAAAGTTTAAGTGGTTTACTGTAAGAGCGCCGCATGCACTTTCACCCGTTCTGTATCTTCTGTTCCACAGAGGTCATTCTGTCCTCTTTGTTTTATATAGACTGTCTTTCCCCTGCCATCATTTTACAGCACAGTTATTTACATCGCCCTCTCGGTTGAGCAAGATACGGCATAATTGCATGTTAGTTTTTAATTATAAAAAAGTAAGGCGATGGGTTGTAAGGTAGCATCACATTGTTCCCGTCTTATCCGTGCTCTGTGATCGTGTGAGCCTGTCTCCTGTGCTAAGTGATGATAAGCCTGCTTTCTATGCTTGCTCATAATTAATCCATCTCCGGCGCGCCCCCGCCCTTATCGCGCTCGCTCCCGCGTCTCAATGGAACTCAATTCTCTATTGATATCTCCCATAAAAAGAGAGGTGCAAATCCTTTAGTTGAGCCTTAGATTGAAGACATGATTCTCATCGCGCTAAACCTCAGCATCTATAGCCTGAAAATGCATCAAATTACAAACAAGACTGGGACTGTTTTGGTGACACACTTCTCTGCCATTTGTTTTTTAAGAAATGTGTCTTCTGGCTATGGAGGAATTTCAATGTGTCTGTGTATATCGAACACTAAAAAAGAAAGGTTCTTTATTGGCATCTATGGTTCTATGAAGAACCCCATGGAATCTTTCACTGAAAAAAAGGTTCTTTATAATGGAAAAAGGTTTGGACCCTCTTAATATTGAGAGTCGTCAACTGTTATGCATATAAATTAATCATCTGATACAATGCACATTAAAGTTTTTACATTGTATATTGTAAAACCTGCATGATTACAACTGTAATACAAAAAGGGTCGTCCCTACCCTTATACCTTAACCCACCCTTAAACCTAACCAGACCACCAAACCTGTCCCTATCCTTACCAATATCCCATCTCAGTAGCAGCAAAAGTGTTTTACAATACAACAGGAGCATAAAAGTAAATACACTGACTCAAAAGGTACACATTAGTACCTCATTTACCCCAAAAGGATACATATAAATCTGACATATTAGCAGTGTCTTAAACTGTTATTCACACTATAAAATAAAGCTTCTTTTAAGAACTGGTTACTGAAAGGTTATTTGAGGAACTAAAAATGGCTCTTCTGTGGCATTGCTGTGAAAACCCACTTTTGGAGTGCTTCTACAGAATAACAAACAAATCAAGATTTTCCCTCCCCAAAAGGTTTAGGCTTAAAATGACTGAGCATGTGAACAAAACAGATTATAATAAATAATGATCGAATAATAAAACAGGTTTCTTCATTTAGATTGCCATTGCACATCATTTTCTGAGCAGCAGCAGCAGCAGCAGCAGCAGCAAAGAGTCTCATCATGTTTTGGATCTGAATAAATACAAAGGTTAAAGGCAAAGCTGCATCTTGGAGTTGTGACGCGGTGGTTGGCACATGCTCACAACACGCCCTGGTGGTACTCATGGGTTTGAGTCCGGCTTCTGCCATGTTCCTGATCCAATTCCCTTTTCTCCCTTTTCCTGCTGTTCTTTATTGTCCTGTCTAAAGGCAAAGATACACTGAAAAAGGATGCCTGATTGTTAAATGACATGTTTTAAAGTAATTCCTACTCTGCTAAACTGAACCAAAGTGATATTCATTGACATTTTTTGCCCCTTCTGAATCAGAACGCACTAAGATCAGGTCCAAAAAATGCTCTCTAGTTAGGCAGCTCACTAGGGATACATTTAGAACTGAATACTTGCAAACAGCCTGCTTTTATAGTGCAGTATTTCAGATGCTACACTGTTGTCACATGCATAGCATTGTGTGTTTAATTCAGCATGCCATCATGTCATAAATAAAAATGGATTTCAAATGTTATGTGAAATAGTCTCATCTCTTTGTAATCTGATAAACAACGGCATGTTAAAAATGATGGTCGCTGTTATTTTCTGTTCATTCTCACGCTGGAAAGGTACAACTGAGCAGATTGTAGCCTATTGTAGGTTATAGTGCTGCACAAATCACAGTTTTCCTGTCTTGTGGCCTTGCAGGATCCCACAGAGGATTCTACGGCCAGGGGCCCCCTGAACAGCATTGACTCGGGGCCCCCTCTCCCTCGTCGGGCCCTTGGAATCGTCCTAACTTTCCCCCCTGTTGCGGCGCCCCTGTTTATAGCATTACATTAAGTGTGGACTCAGAGGACGACTGTGCAAACCATGCAAAGTATATACATGCTGTATACTGCAAAAAAAAATAGTATGCATAGTATGCAAGTACGCTATTTTATAATACACAGCCACAGTATTCAGACACGGTTTAAATCGGTTTCGTTTAAACTTTTACATTGTGTTGTTCTGCACTTAAAATTTCCAGATAATTTGGCAATCAAAACAATAAATCCTGGCTGTAATTAAAAAGGCAAGACTGCATTCCGCAAACAAACAAACAAAATTGAAAAAACTCGGAAAGCTGCATATATTTCTCGGCAGCAGGCATCCCGAGGGGAAAGAGAAAACAGCTAGTAAACAGCAGAGTGCAGTGAATGTGTGTGGACAGTGTGGAGTGTGTGAGCGCTGCTGCAGCTCTATGGCGCACCGCTGCGCTCAAGCCTCCTGCAACAAAAGCACAACACGCGCTCATCTGCGCTGTCAGTGTGCGCCCGGATCTTAGCGCAACTTAACCCTCTCTCTACACGACGAGACCAGCAAAGCCTGGCTGGAATCAGACAAACACCGAAACACACCCGAGTTTTACAGGCAGTGCGTTTATCTGGGTTTGGATGAGCCGCGGTATCATTTGGTAATCTCGAGTCCAGCGCGCGGAGCAGGAATGTCCCGGAGGAAACAGAGCAACCCGAAGCAATTCAAACGTGAGTTTGCCAACGCGGATTTTACGCATGCCTTTTTCTTCTTACCCAGCACTGGGTTGTATTTAACCCAGCATTTTTTAGAGTGCACCTGTAAAGAGCACAGCTTTGCCAGCCACCTGCTCATAGTAAAGGACAAAGAGGTTGAGATGCTCCTGTCTTTTTTTTATGGTTGCATTTTGTTCCCAATTGAACAGAGTTTGCCCTGTTATCTGAACCCTGGCGATTCACCCTGGATTTTCATATTTTGCCTATTCCATTCTCTGGTGTGCCCTCTGCGAGGCAGATAAAGTGAGAGCACTGAAAGAGCTCCATTAATTTGCCCCGATGACTGTGGCGATAAGAGCAGATAATGGGTTTGATAAGCTGGGGAAGATATACCATCAGAGACCCCATTATTACCATTAGAATTCCAGGCTGGCAGTCTGTTCCAGCCTGATAATCCCTCCCCCATCCTCCACTTCACATGATAAGACAAGAAATAGTCAGTCCGCACTCTCTTTATTAGCCCGCCTGGATATTCCGATAATATGGTGATAAATTATGTATTTTCTCTTCTCCCACTATTTTAGCCGTATTGAAGGATCTGTCTCTCTCCTTATGGAGAGATAAAAAGGGCATTTTGGGTCATCTTTTTCCCTTCCCATGCATCCCTCCCCCCTCTGCTGGTGTTTACGGGTTTATTGTAATAAGAGTTTGATGGTAAGGGAGATTGGATGGCCAAGGTGTCTTGGTGGGAGAGCAGACGTCAGTGCTATCAGCTCAGCATCTCCAGCACAGGCTGCTACCAGCTGTTCATCTCAACCTCTTATCACCTGCACGGCCAATCGCAGTGTAAATTTGACCAAATTGTTGGTTGGTGCGAGGCGGGTTCGCCAAGTAAATGACAGCGAGAACGGCACGAGTCGCCATGGTTGTCTACCAGCTATTTTTGTCATGAACTGAAACGTAATTCATTGTCATGTTGAGGACATTTTTACTGTCTGCGAATTTGTAAAAAAGCAAATAATTGCTGTTGGTTCCCTACACTCTCAGAAACAAAGGTACAAAAGCTGTCACTGGGGCGGTAACCTTTCAAAAGGTACTAATAAGCACACTTTTATTACACTTTTAAGCACGGATACTAATATGTACGTTTATAGTACTAATTTGAATCCTTTAGGGTGTACTCAGGAAAGAAAAGGTACAAAAAGAGGCTGTAGATGCACTGAGGAATTTTTTTTATGAATTACTTACAGAATTTGAAATTGTGGTGTGTGTGTGTGTGTGTGTGTGTTTGTGCGCGTTTTTGTGACAAATGAGGACATACATTTGTATAATGACAAAGGTATGACAGGTATTACAAGGAGAAGGTGACTTTTCAGGACATTACCCCATGTCCCCACTTTTCAAAACGCTTATAAATCACACCGAATGGGGTGTATTGAAAATCTGAAATAGCACAAAGTCTCCTGTGAGGGGTAGGTTTAGGGGTAGGGTTGGTGTAGGGCAATAGCACATACAGTTTGTACAGTATAAAAACCATTACGCCTATGGGATGTCCCCACTTTTCACACAAACAAACCTGTGTGTGTGTGTGTGTGTGTGTGTGTGTGTATGTGCATTTATATATAAAACACAGAATATATGCATCATAACTCTCTCGAATACTTGATTTTGCGTTCTATCTTTGAATGTCTTTGTCTAATGACTGCCAAACCTTATAGATTTGACTAATTTACAAAGTGTCTTGTCTTTAATTTCACTCTGCATCTCTTTAATCTCTAATATTAAAATGATTTTAAGTTAATATGTATAATAGGCAGTCTGGCAATCATTGTTGCACAATAAACCCCTTAAAAACGTAAAAAAATTATTGTATTGTTAAAAAAAAAAAAAAAAATTTTTTTTAATTGCATTTATTTTCAAGATGCACAAGCATGTTTTTATTTAAGTAAAAACACGTATATATATATATATATATATATATATATATATAAATGTGTGTGTGTGTGTGTGTGTGTGTGTATGTATATACGTATATATATATATATACACACACACACACACACACACACGTTCATAGTTAATGTGACACAACTGTGGTTCTTCTGTGAACTTTAGTGAACTGACTTCACTATAAATAACCTTGACAGAAAATAAGTCATTGCAAAAAATGAAGAAGAGTGAATTTAGTTAACTCTAGCATCTTTTGTGTGCAGATATTGAAATTGCTATATCTATTTCAATGATAATGCCATGCTTTTAAGTGCTATTTAGGTGTCCAGATACTGTTTGTGGCCACTGTATATGTATACATGTAAGAACTGTTTCAATATGACATAACTGCTAATGAAGTTTTGTCACTAGTTTCAGCTCTTGCAGCCGTGAACTGTCAAAGTATTTCTCTTGCTCTCATTGTTCACAATACTTTAATGATTTATTTGGAGGCTGTCATTCGTGGTTGTCGGCGCTAACTTTGTGCTGTCAGAATATGATAATTTATTTCATTATTATACCCTATAAAGGATGTCAGATTTGTTGCCTCTCCTTTATTCTTTTTTTAATCTGTTTTGATTAACTTCATCTGCCAACTGTCAGTGTGAGGCATCCCTCAGTCGCGAGCTATCTCTCACAGATCAGTGCAATATGAAGAGAGGGCTTATTGCGTGCCAACTTTCTCCCCAGCATCTGTTCAGCACTAATGAGCTATGAAGTGCTGTGACTAGGCTGCAGGAGGAGGAGGAGGGGAGATGAAGAGGACAGGAACACCACGCGCCTGTCTCACCCTTCTCCAGGAACGCTGCGAGACGTCCCAACTGTTTAGGAATGCAGCTACTGTTTGTCTTTGTTTGTTACACACACCGATTCCACAACTCAGCGATTAGTGATGCCTGGATTCTAATTTAAAGTAGCGAGCCACGAGAAGCTCTGCATTACAGTAAAGGTAAGGGTGTTAAAAAATGGTGCAAATGCAGAATGATAAAACACGAATTAATGATCAAAAATTAGTTACATTTCTTAAAACTATTATTATAATATTATGTATTATTAAATATATTATTATAATGTAATATTATGTGTAATAATTAGTGGTGACAAGCAATGCATTTATTCAGTCGCAGAACGACCGAGAACGGGAGACGTTCTCCACTTCACTTCAGCGCCACAAAACGGTGCTCTTCAATTACACGCACAAAGGCATCCGGCGCGCGCTGTAGCCTGTATCCTTTCATATAAAAGTGCGAAATATGAAAGAAAGTCATGAAGTTAACAAAAAGGCGATTAAAGCTGCCTTAAAACAGTGCATGCATGTAATATATTTTATAGGAGAGTCACCTTTAAGAACATGTCATGTCTCTGAAATGGTTTTCAAAACTCTCTAGTCTCACTCATCTAACACACCCGATTTAACTCGTCAGCTCATTAATAGAGACTTTAAGACCTGAGTGGGTCAGAAATGGTAAAAAGAGTGTCAGATCCGCATAATGTTCAGCAGCGGCAGCTCTTAAAGAAGTAACAGCCAAAATAACCTGATAACCAGCTGCTGTGATGTCTATAAATCAAAGGACAAAGAAAAAAAGAGGAAAAAATAACTTTTATAGCTTTAATGATTCACCTATATTTAATTTAGAATTTAGTGTTTGATAACTTCAATTTAATTTTCTGTATATTTCTGCTGAAGGGCACAGGTAAATATGACATTTATTATAATGGGTGGGTTCATGTGAAGATTGTTTTAAGTTCACTAGAAGTTATTTTTTAAAGTCTAACATTTTATTTCTGCTGAAGGGCACAGGTAAATATGACATTTATTATAATGGGTTTATGTGAAGATTGTTTTAAGTTCACTAGAAGTTATTTTTTAAAGTCTAAATTTTTTTTTAAATTGATAGCTCTCAATTATACTGTAATGTTGAATGGCTAGTCAATGGTTAAATATTAGGGGGGGGCAATTTTATAGAGTAATCAGTATTGGTATCATTGATTCCGGCCTTCATTCATAAAAAAGATGCCATTAAACAAATATTACAAAAATATACTGTCTTTATGTTGTTTGTACATTAATTAAATTATTGCAATATAAAAGTATCTTTAAAAACTTTAATGTTAGGTGGGATTAATCGTGATTAATTTCAGAAAAATGTGCGATTCATTAGTTACGTTTTTTAATCGATCGACAGCACTAATAATAATATAAATGTTATATTAAATATTGATATTTTGTATTTATATTAATAATAATTATACATATGGTACTGTTCAAAAAAGTTTTTTAATTATTTTTAAAATGTTTTTGAAAGAAGTCTCTAATGCTAACCATTTATTTGATCAATAAAAAAAAAACAGTAATATTTTGAAATATTATTAGAATTTAAACAACTGTTTTCTATGTGAATATATTGTAAAATGTAATTTATTGCTGTGATCAAAGCTGAATTTTCAGCATCATTACTCCAGTCTTCAGTGTCATATGATCCAGAAATCAGTATAATATACTAATTTGATGCTCAAGAAACATTTCTGATTATTATCAATGTTGCTGCTTCATATTCTTGAGGAATTTGTGATAGTTCAAAATAACATATATTTGAAATATAATTTTTTTCTAACATTATAAATGTCTTTACATCAGTTTTGATAATTGTTTTAATCAATTAAATGCATTCTTGCTGAATAAAAGTATTAATTTCTTTAAAAAAACGTATAATTGTATAAAAATAATTGTTCACTAAATATTGTTATTGAAACGTTCACATTAGTCAACCAATACAAAATATAACCAAACACTTTAATACACATGTACAAAAGCGTGTCCTTAAAGCGCGTCTGTAGGCTGCCTCGGGGACCAGTAGCTCTAAAAGAGGCCGACAGAATCAATGGCAAAAACAAGATAAGCGAGATGTTTATTTGACGAGCCTTAATCATTGATGCCCTGCTGTGCTAGATGTCCTATCAGTGAGGTCCAGCGGCTCTAAGGGAACACGCTACTTTTATTCTCCTCACCTTCATTGAGCCTTTAG